CTCCTGTGATAGAAAGCCAACGGGTAACGAAAATTACAAAAAGACCAGTGATTCTTTGTGCCTCGTCCTGGGTAGCCAGCACAAAAGTTTACGATATAAGTGATCAGTAGATTAAAACATACTCAGAGGTACACACCCAATCCCTATTTCTTTTACTCTTGCGCTTTTGGCATTAGCTTTAGAAATTACTGCAGAATTTGAGAATTGTGAATTGTCATTTCTGTATCGAGAAAACACTACCTGGATTTTCCCGAGCTCGATTTGGAACCAACCAGCGCTATTACGAACTGTGCACTTTTTTGGCTGTAAGGTAAGCAACTAATTATGACAATAAAAGAATATATGAAATTCAGAGTAAAATAAGAACTACTCACCTGCTCATCAGTCACCTTTCCTGCTTTCCTCAAAATTTCGGCTACAGCATTCCCATGTCTAACATTAAAATAGCTGCAAGTGATCTGAAATTTGAAAAAACCGAATATGACAAAACGTAACTTTACTAGAAGAGATGGAATAGCACAATCCGTGACCACTCAAAAGGTATAATCCCATTTCATACAAAAAGCTTCGAACAAAATCTTGAATGACTATTTAATTTACATGTCATAAAATCTCCAACACAACAGTTTTCAAAAATTCAATCGACTTAAGTTTTCTATTGCATATATTCACCACAGAGACGGTGTAGCGCAGCGGTGGCTCATTCAGTGTATCAGAAAGTGAGGTGATAAGCAAAGCGCTGCTTAAATCCCATCTCCCAACACTTCCTACAATCAGTTAACAATCTTCTTAGGAAACGCCCTGTTCGGCTACCTCCAGGATTGCAAGTGGAATAATCTTAATCAGCATTTTCCGACATTCACAAAGAATGACGAAATGCTCAAGCAGCATCCAAAGCAGCACGTGAAGGGTTCGAAGACCTTTGTGGAAGACGAATGCGATGAAACGAGTCGACTAAGAAGTGCTGGGATCCGCCCAATATATTGCACGACGCGTTGTGTAAAATAAATAAATTCAATTATGATATTCACCATTGTATCAACAGTTCCTGGTCCGTCAGCACCAAGCTCCAGGACGACAATATCTTTAGCGCGTTCGCGCCTCAGTAAGTTGACCACATCATCGACGGATTCAGCACTGTAATTGGAGAACCATCAAATATGGATTTATACAACTACTTTAAATGTAGAATAAGGAACACATTCAACATAGTATGACGTTGAGATCACTTCTAAAAGATCACTTAACCTTCTATATCCAAGGGAAACAAAAATTACCACAATTCTTCTTCGATTTTCTCAGGTTTAACAACGGTCTCCTCTTCTACATCATCCACTTCATAGTACTCCTCAATATACTGATCAAAGTACTCTTGTGCTTGTGCGATCTTAGTTTTTTGAGCTTCGATATCCTCTTGTAAGGTAGAATAGTGACGTGTAACAGAACTAAAATACATTTTGAGCCAACCATACCTACATTACGTGAACCAAGCAAGGACTCACCTATAAGAACACGGGCGTTTGATAGAGGGTTGTAGGATACATGGAGAACTACTGAGCGAAAGGATTGGCGTGAATCGTAACGTCACGTATCCTTAAGCAAAAAAGCTTTGAATCATATCTAATATCAGGAGCGAAGATTTCTGCAGGTTGGAGAAAAAACGGAAGAGGACAGGTTGCTACCTCTGCTCCACAACGGGGCGATACTTAGCGTCAACCTTGATAGTTTCGAGCTCATCAAGGGCATCAAATCCATCAATCACTCTGGAATGGACATAAAAGCATTAAGTTATAGGGGACAGATAAATTCAGTTACTAAAAAAAATGGAAACATTCTCTACGTCGAGCTATGCTTCAAAGTCACCAACTTCCCAAAAACTGTATATTTGAGGTCAAGATGAGGTTGTTTGGCGTATGTAATGAAAAATTGCGACTTATTTGTGTTTGGTCCGTTATTTGCCATAGACAATATACCACGACCGCTGTGCTGAATGAATACTTTTCAAAGTGTTGCCGAAGTCTCCTTGATATTAAGACTTACTCTGAGCTCAGTCGAGAGCTCGTCTTCAAACGGAGTACCCCAAATGCTGTTGCCGCCTTTACCTGTTCCTGTAGGATCACCAGTCTGGACCATAAAATCCTTGATGTTCCTGAATCCATAGTGTTTTTTTGCAAAATATTCAAAAGAAAAAAACTAGAACAACATGACTGGTATCTGAAAAATTTCATGCAACACAAGGTTGCCAGTCTATTGCTATACAGTTTTGGTGTTCATCAGTCCCACTAGAAAGGGATAAGGGTGCTGTTATAAAGAGAAAAAGAAAAAGAATCAGAAGATGCAGGGAAATAATCCCAACAGATTCTACATGACCGTAACCGTGATATCTCCACAATATTAAGAATGTTTGGTGGACTGGAGAATGCTCGTAACTATCAACAACAACAGCAACAACAACATCAACGACAAAAAAAAGTACTTTTTTAAGGTACAGAGAAAAAGAAAGACGCTCTGCAAACCGTTCATGTAAGTACAAAACAAGAGCAGTGAGCTTCAGTCAGACGAATAGCAGCACGCTTCAAATTCATAACCTCTCCCATACTGGGAACCGTTGCCTCGGTGGTGTAGTGGCAGCAAACGCCGCCGGTATGGGTCAAACGAGGGTTCGATTTCCGAGTGGGGTCAAAAGTTCTGCATATCTCTCAATATTCTTCGATATATGACTATACCACCATAAGGCTGCTATCATAACACTCAGCTAAAAAAAACTCTCGTGAATCAAAACCTCTTCGTTTCAATCTTATCGATTTGCACTGTAATACTACACGGCAGAGTTCACATTTTGAGAACCAGCCTTAATAGGCAGGCGGCGCAGCGCCATCACTTGCTCTCATGGCTGTGCATGCGTATCCCGCCGCCTGCCTGCTTTCCCACGCGACGCGACGCCGCCACTAAATAGCTGAGTGAGATTTTACGTTGCGCGGTGAGCATCAAAACAAGTCTCATGGTTTTTGAAGGGTTAAGCGGTATAACCCTCCGAGGACCACCGCTGATAGGCAGGCGACGTCGCGTTGTCGCTAGCGCGACAGTCGAGGTAGGCAGCATCAGCACGTCTCTGCATGCATGTCCAGCTTTCTGCCTACCTTCTGACAGGATGCAACGACGGAAATATGGAGAGAACGACAGGCGCGAAAGGCAGTTACAAAAAAAGTTATCCGCTTCTGCAATAAACTGTTTCAATAATCCGATCCGAATATCTCAAGTTAAACACGTATCGTTACATTCATAGTTTATATATGATTTAACTACTTAATGTAAAACATGAACTCAACAGTCCTCCTAGCGCTCTGGTATGCACAAGAGACGTGGGCTGATAAATCGACCACGTCAAGACTACGCGAACAAAACACCAAACGCTTGAACAATCTTTTAAGATAGTCAACACTCGCAACATCTAGCCGGCTTGCGTAGCTTGAATATTCGAAATCCTTCTCATCTTCATGATTCAGAAAAATATACTTCGATGACGAAAACAGAAGGACGAAACGAACTGAAGAGTGGATCTTACGAGAATACACAAGCCTCTGAGAACGACCACCTACACGTTCGGCGGACATGGTGGTCTAATCAACTCTACTCACAGCTGTCGATGTTTTACAGATCACAGTGTGAACGCCAGCCACCATACTCGAATCAGCCCCACCAGCATGGACAATTGCAAGAAGAAAAAACGAATGGAAAATGTGCTATGATCCGTACAATTCGTGAAGACGGGCTGTCCAAGTGACTAAATATAAATACTCGTTAGCATTCCTTTGGAATTGAAGGTTTGAGCTCATTAACATCTGATTATATTCTAAATATCCTCAAAAATTACTTGAAAACCGGCTTTCCTCTCAATCCGGCATTACATGAAGACTTATTCGGATAACGTTTCAACATCTTCGATTTCGTCAGAGCCGGTGATTCAAATCGATTACCCGCTCACGAGCGCGGTTCTTCATTCGCAAGGTGCTGTATCGCAGAATTGACTCGAACGACAACGAACACGATGACCATAAGGTCGATGTGTGGCCAATCGACTAGACCCTTCATATGAACCTCATGGCATTAGCTAAACTATGAAAAAAAGTATCCTCAAGGTATGCTTTGCGTTGAGGGTAATGGTCATGAAGAAATGCGTTATTACCATGGAAAAAAACCCGTTTCAGCGACAGGTATAAGCGCAACTCAGCCGGGTCGATTTTTTTCTTGCCGTCGAAAAGCCCGACCAAATAAAATCTTCGAATAAAATCCAGGTACGGAAGATCACACGGTAAGAGTTGCCAGTGATTCTCCTGCGGCCGTGATGACGGAAATAGGCTTACTTGAGTTGTATCCTTTCATTAGCAGCCTCAGGAATCATATGAACGCTGCTGTAACTTTGTTGTCAAAGTCTTAAAACTTCATCTATATCCTTCTTGGATAGTTGCAGAATCGCTCCGTTAATTCACAAGTTCAATTTTTAGGATGTGGGATAGAATTCTTTAGATCTAGGATTCCTAGGTTTCTGTAAAATAATATTAGAAGTTCTCATAAATTTTGGCACTAAGGGAATAAACCCAAATTCATTAACCAAAAGTAATTGAAATTAAATAACAACACTATCCAAAGTATACGTCATCGCCCTGAACACATTTCTTCTATCTCTCTGGCAACAGATCAATACCGCTTTGTGCAGAATTTTCTGAACTTTCATTCGGTACCAAATCTGCCCTAGTTGACGAAAATGGCCTCATGGTATCTTGGAGAAACTCAGCAAAGAACTGAAGTACAGTTCAACAGGACACAAACCCTTGAGCCTTTAATCGGTTGATATTCTCGAAGGCGGTTTGTGCACGCATCCCATGCGCACTCGTAAAACAACGAACTGCGATAAAGGCTTCGTTGACCGGTAATGACACGCCAGATATGGACAAATTTGATAGCAGAAAAAACTTAAGAATGAGTGGTGAGAAAGCGGTGGCCTCTGTCGTGTAGTGGTAACACGTGTTTCTGGTACAAATAAAAACGCGGGTTCAACCCCCGTCCGAGGTCGAATTTTCGCTTACCACTCAATTCCCTCAGGAATATTTAAAACACCATAGAACTGCGAAAGAGCGGTAAGACATAAGAAATCCACGAAATATATAGGTACGATGGCTGATAGCTTAAGTGGCTTATAGAGCAATATTTCGTACCCGACAAAACCTGTCAAAGGCTGGTGGCTGATAGCTATGAGAGAAAGATGTTGAAGAATGAGTGGTGAGTAAGCAGTGGCCTCGGTGGTGTACTGTTAGTGCGTGTTCCCGGCATGGATAAAAAGCGGGTTCAACTCCGTCCGAGATCGAATTTTTGCTCACCACCGAATCCTCTTAGGAATATTTGAAAGCTCAGGAAATTCTCCGTAAAGCGGCACTGTTTTGTCTACTGATGGACAGCAGGAATGTGCTCAGGATGATGGCGCATAGTTTGAATAGCACTGTTCGGCAGTTCTAAGTACTCTGGCTAATAATTAGTGTTTACTGCTCTAGTGCCAAAACCTATGAGAAGACACAATAGAATCCTTACGAACACGTGGGTTTATGAACTGGAACTATTCTCGTAATCATTTTTTGAGCCACGCATATCAGTGGTCTGTCATGGATGGCTGACTTATAGAGCCCGATACACGTGTTTCGATCTTGCGATCTCGTCAATCGGGCAGTTACCCTTTCTCGTCTTTTGCCAATCTTGTGTGGGAGCTCCAGTCCCCACACTAAGAGTTAGCGACGACGAACGTTTTACACTCTATGTCCACTGAAAATCTCACCGAACACAGAGTGTTGTACACTCGATTGCTCTTGGCTAGTATATTTAATATATCATAACTTTCGTTTTGAGTGTTTTCTTAAGACCACAGCTCAAATTTTCAATGCCAGCCCTCTCTAATAGACCACTAACATGCGTGGCTCAAAAAATGATTCCCAGGCATATTGAAAATTTGAGCCGTGGTTTCGAGAAAACACTCGAAGCGAAGGATATATATTATATATCCTAGCCATGAAACTATTCTATAGAATGGTTGAACAGCCATACCTGTGGAAGATGTTGTCCTTATAGTAGTCGCTAGCGCAGAGAGCGAGAAAATTCTGGAAAATCAACTACAATAGTCAGAATAGGTATCGATCCGCGGAGGTCATATAAACGACATTTTCCACACACACCTCGCACGTTTTCGGGCACTCCTGACAAAACAATTCAAGTTTGATATCACCGGCTGTCGTGTGTAATGTTACAGACATAACATCGATATGCTGAAAGAGAAACGATCTGATCCATCGTGAATACAGAAAAAAAGACTTTTCGAAGGCTCAAGGAGAACAATTCATTATGAGAATGGTGTTCGGAACTTTACAGAAGAAAGAGGAAGAGGAAATTAAGAAGAACCAAGTGAGAAAAAAGATGAAAAGATAAGAGGAAAATATGGAAGGAAGGAAAGAAAATAAGGGAAAAGAGAAAGAAGGAAAGGAAGACAGAGAGAGGGAGGAAAGGGGAGAAAGAAAGAAAGAAAGAAAGAAAGAGAAACGCAGGATTAAAATAGAGAAATAAAGAAACGAGAAGGAAGGAAGAGAGAGAGAGGAAAGGAGGACAGAGAGAGAGAGGAAAGGAGAGAAAGAAGGAAAGAAAGAGAGAGGGGAAAGAAAGAAAGAAGACAAGAAAAATGTAGGAAAAATGAAAGAAAGGAGAAAAAACTGAGTGGTAATTGGAAAGCGAGCGCAATTGTTCGAATGGAGCGAGGTATTCGTTCGCACAGAGACACATCGAAGATTTTTTAAATCTTTTTTTTTGTGAAATGGTAAACCCTCGATATCGACCTTACTGTAAGGAGATACTTTTATGTTATTTAATTACACAACCCGTCATCACAATTTTTATTGTGCAGATCCCAACATTTCTAGCATGAAACTCGTTTTTTGCCTTATTCTTGAAAAGAACACCGCTCGAGCAAATCTCCTTGTAATCTCGAGGATAGCCTGGCTGTGGCGTCCCATAGGGCGTTCTTGTTGACTGCCGGAGAGAGTTGGAGGGTGGGGCTCGGCTCCACGCGCGCCGCGACGTGCTTCACAACCACTCGGCCACGACGTCCCCAGGAACACTTTGCTGAATAAAATATGACAAAATGAAAACTGTCGTCCTACAATATAAATTGAAAATTATTGCGAGGATAATTGTGAGGGATTATCGCTAAAGAAAAGGATAACAGGCGAGTCCGAGTTCAACGATAGACGTATTCAGTGAATCGATGCATAAAGTAAAACAACAAGAACAGTCATAATTCTTTCTCTTTTGACTGCCACTTGCAGTGATATGATGTTATTAGTATACCCAATATGTGGAGTACTGTGCAAAAACGTTTGCGTCAGCCGGGATTTGAACCCAGATCTCACTCTTTCCGGGAGCGTATGCTAACCGTTGCACTACCGACGCTCGCTTTGCACGCACTCTTATTTACGCTTTTGCGTTTTTGCACAGTACTCCACATATTGGTACTAACAACAAAAAACACCTTCGAAAGGCCCGAGTTCCTAAGAGTCTCACCCGTCGGAAATAGGAAGCCGTCCCCAGACCAGGAAAAGAATTATGATACTTATTGGTTACAAGAGATCAAATGAAAAATCGATCTCATAAGCTGGAGAAGAACTTTTATGGGAGTGCTAGTAACTATTCGAAAAGTTGAGACTTCAGGCTACAGCCACGTCTGTGGTTTTCAAAGAAAGCTTTTTTTGACGTTGCTACAGAAGGAAATTTCTTGCGTTGCTGACGCGCATATTTCTCGCCGGGCAGAGCTTTTTCTTTGGAATTTTAGTAATCATTCGATAGTGTAATCGTTTCTGATTCCAACGCTGTGCTCATATCCTGAAAAGACCATTTTTCCGCAATGCAGCAGGTAAAATTTCAAATCAGCGACGATTACGCTATCGAATGATTGTTAATAGTCGAAAGAAAGAGCTTTGTCCGGCGAGTAATGTGCACGTTTGAGGCTAGTTTTATTTTGGATCTCCCACTGTTATCAAAGGGTGCTTTGGAAAACCAGCGACGTGGGGCTGTAGCCAGAAATATCAGCTTTTGAACGATTACCAACATCCCTATGTAAAGTTCCTGTTTAGCGAATGAGGTCGGGTTTTCACTTGTCCCCTTACAACCAGAGACTCGAAAGACCGACTTTCTTTAGACCTCGGCATGTTGAAGATTTAAAACTGCAAAAATGAGTTGAAAAGCTTAGGAACTAATCTTTATTTGAAACTTCACGAGGATGGTATCTTTCTGCCGATCGTTTGTTCTTCTTTTCGGTCGATGGGTTTTCTTGCTTGCTTGTGACTGACGTTTCGGCCAAATACGCCTCCTTCTAAGCCTGAACGTATTATTCATTGTAACGTCGCTTATATTATTATGTACTGGGGTAAAATGAAAATCTAGGGCATTAATAAGCGATAATTGATTTATATAAGTAGCGCTACAATGAATATTACGTTCAGGCTCTGAAGAAGGCGTATTTGCCGAAACGTCAGCCAAAAGCCGCCAAAAAGACCCATCGACCGAAAAGAAAAACAGTCGATCGGGAAAAAAGATACCAACCTCGTGAAGCATAAAATAAAGATTAGTTCTCAAACTTTTCTCCTCATTTTCACAGTTTTACAACAAGAGGGTACCTAAATTATTAGTCAAGGGCAGGGGACAGCCGTTCTGATATCCGCAGATCATTTGTGACTGTGGTTCAAGTAAAGCATTTCACTGAACATATTTACCACAAAACATACTGGCATTTAATTCACTGAGACGCCATTGAGCTCCTGTAAACTCTTTCGGGATCGTAGACCCGCGACTTTCGAATCTTTGACTGACAACTGTGGACGGTCTGCTCCACTTCCTCTGCAGCTCTGATTCCCAGGGTGCCTTTATTTCACGTAATAGCCTGTCATTGTTAGACGCAGCAGCCAACACTGTTATACAAAGTACAGTGGGGGTTAGAGATGCAGAGCAAGTGGAAGAGGCCATCCAGAGCTGCCAGTTAGGGACGAAGAGGCTGTGGGTCCACGGTCCCAAAAAGGTTAATGCAAAAACACGATCAGGTTAATCCTATGAATTTTTGTCTTTCTTACTACAAAATAACTAGAAGGAAAATCATACGTTCGTTGTACGTTGTGATCGTGAGGCCAGTTAGATGGCAACATCATTCGTTCGTAATCACCTAAGGTTTAGTAGATTTTTATGCGCTCAAGACCATTACAACTATCCTTATGAATACATTTGTTTTTCAACAGTTACACACAAAGACTGACTAGTTATCTATCGAAGAAACCCAACAAGACATTCTAAAGCAAACGAACTTGTAAGCATAAATACTGCACGAGTAATTTAAAGTATTTGGCGCTATCCAAGAACGAGCAGAGACCGCAAAGACTTATTTCCGCGTCTTATTCAATAGCTTTTCGCTCAACAAGAACAATGACGGTTTGACAATACCGAATGTATAGCGAAATGCGAATATATAAGAGCCGTCATAATTGTCGATCAGTAAATTGTAGAATAGAGTAGGGCAGCATAGCGCAGAGCTTACTGATTCAGTAAATCGCGAAACAAATTGATAAGCAAACTCTCTGACACTCTCTTGAAATCAGCCGATGAACACCTTTGCTTGGCCACCTCCGAGATTGCAAGAATAATCGTCTCGACCAAAATTCTGCAATAGTCATAACGAAGACAAATTCTCAAGCAGTAGCTGATACAACTCGTAGAATGTTTGAAGACCTTTGTGAAAGTTTAATTTGCGAAAACAAATCAAATGGAGGAAGTACTGAGATCCGCACAACGAATGTGATGATGAATCGTGTAAACTGAATATGAAGAAAAGGGGAAAATTTGAATTAGAGAGTACCTTTTCGTTTTTTTTTGCTTCTTCATCGAAGTGATTTCAGAGGTGATGAGAAGCAGAAGTACAAGCGAGAGTTTTGTAAGGCATTAGCGAGTCGTTAATCAGAAATTGAGTAACGTCAAGCGATATGCAAATCTATAGGC